ATATATGAGAATTATAGAAATGGAAAAGTTGAAACATGTTAGCTAGTCAGCTGCACATTACCAAAGAGACTATTACCAATATTACCATCGAAATGGAAGAATTGTCAGGATATGCTCCCATTCTCTGACCTCTGCATGGGTTTCCGTTCACCGTCCTCCTCCTCTCCTTATACAGCTGTGACTATTTGAGAGGGAAGGGACATGTGTTCTTAAAAGAAACTGTTTCTGTGGTTGTATTTTCAGAGTTCCAAGCTGAAAGGTTATCAAAAAAAAGACGTGAGACTTGGAGGCCTGGGACCTGACTTTGAGTCCATCAGAGACAAAGTGAGTGAGATGTGCATAAACTGTGCTTTCACGCTTGACCTGGCCCATCTGCCCTTTAGCAAAACGGTGTAGAGGTGCTCCCCCAAATCAAGCCCAACACAAATGTCTCACACTGAATAGGGACCCTTGAAAATAGCCCTGGAAATGGAACAGAGGCCCAGCCCCTCTTTTTCACTGCAAAATAAAAATATTAGCCAGTGTCGTTTTAGGCACCACCCTTCAGTTATCTTTGAAGACCTGCATGGAAAAGCGGGTCACATGTATGTGAAAATGGATGCGTGTGTGTTATGGGGTCATTGGTCTTTCCTGACAGAGTAGTCTTGATAATTTTGAAGAGTGGCTACAAAGAAGACACTTAGGCTCGAGTTCCCCAACCCTTGAGAAGTGCATCCACTTTATTCTCTTTTCTCCTGTGAAGAGATATTCATTTAGTGCGTTTTAACTGCAATTGCACTCAGGCATAAAAAGACAGTATAGTTTAAAGTTGGAAGCAAACATGAAAATAAATTGGGTAAATGCAACAAAGAAGGGACTGAAGTGATTCGCCACTGTTAGGGAGACCTGGCTGTAGGATTGCAATGATGTTCCTCATTGCTGAGACTCGCATGGAAACACTAACTTAACAAGTTCATTGCCGTGACCTTACACATAGTAATCCACTTCTCCTGTGCTGCTGACGCAGTCCCTGGCCTGCGAAAACTATTGTCACTTTAAACACAGCAGAGAGAGCTAGTAGAACCTGCGATTCATTATAACTTTGTTTCTCTGAACAGATGCAGAAATTAAAACAGCAAAAGGAATACGCAAAACAAGTTAAAGAGTACAACATGAAGACATTCTCCGTTCTGTCCAAACCACAAACAGCAAAAACTGAAAATAAACCAGTCATTCCTCGACAGAAGGTAAGAAATTCTCATCAAGGCACTTTAAAAATCAGAATTAGAAGGGGATATTTGTTCCTGCTTAATTTTAAAAAGATTGCCCACATGTCTGGAACACGGGAAATGTTCTAGTAACTGTCATTCCCGCAGCTGCCTATCCACAGATACTCGTGTAACTGCAGCACACACACACAGTGCTGTAAGATGAGACTTGTTATTTTCCTGAAGTTCATTCTTTCCATGTTAGTTCTTCCAAGTGCACAATTTTAAATTTGCCACATATGAACAGAAGGAGGAAGGTGATTTCTTAGAAGAAAATAGCCATCCTGATTGACTATCATTTCATTCTCAGTCATGAAGTAGGTTTCATGGAGATTAGTGTCTTGCTCTTTAATGTCAAAGAAAAACCCTTCATTTCTTCTTTTAAGTTCTTTACCCTATGGTTTTCCATGGGGATTGTAATATATGTTTTCCTTCAGCAAAGAAAAATGATTTCAAGGAATACAGAACATTCTCCCACTCAGATGTCATCCAACCAAGGGCTGCGATGTAAATGAAGTATGTACTGTAGAGACACAGAGCTTTGCAGCGCAAATCTCTGCCTCCATTGATGGAGACAGTCCCAGGAAGGACAGGAGATCCTTTGGTGCCTTCAGGAATGTGTACTTCATGTTCTCTTTCAGAGACCATCGTATTTTCTATTTATTGCCTTTTTCCTCAGACCTTGAAGGCCCCAATCCTCTTAATTGAGTTTCCATGGTGCCACTTTTTCTTCTTTTCTCCAGTCCATTATATTTTCATGAAGAGCTTCAAGGTCATAAATCTATAATTAGGGGTTCCTATAGATTTCATCTACACACAGTGAGATATTGGGAGTTTTTTTCATATGTTTTAGAATTTTTCCCCTTCTAGGACCTAAACATGCTATTCATTCCCATCTCAGCTGTCAGTAAACTCTGATTATAATACAAAACCAATACAAAGGAAGATTTAGACATTATACTAGGTGATCTTTCTCCTCTTACCCTTCTCTGTCTTTGTCTGTCTGTCTGTATCTGTCTCTCTGCCTCTGTCTGTCTGTCTGTCTCTCCTTGCTTCTGTCTCTCCCTTGTGTGTGTGTGTGGTGCTGTAGATCAAATCTAAGGCTTTGCACATGCTAAGTGACAATGCTACACTGAGCTATACCTCCAGCTCTAGTGATTTCATTTTTATCACACCTTTAAGAACTGATATCAGGCAGAAAGCTTTAGGTTTCTATTGATACACTAAAGAAAAAAATTGAATCTTTAATATTTTCTGGAGTTCTGAGAGTCTAGGAATAAGAACAGTATACAGGGGAGGTCAATTTTACATCAACACATTGATGCCTTTGGTCTCAAACTATAGCATCTTCTTTGGGTAGCAAGTGCTACTAATAACTCCCTAATAGAAGTTTGATTTTAATAAAAGTGCAAGGAAGTAAGTATATCAAACACATAAGAAATATGTTTTTAAATATGGCAAAATTCAGTTTTATGAAGAGAATATCCAAAGGGCACAACTATATGCATCCTTCTCCAAGTCTTTTCCTCCCCACAATATAGGGTTTTGTGGCTAATTTATTTTGCTTAAATTGGGTGTTATATTGCACTGTTCGTAGTTTCTATCTGATCTCCATTTCTACTCATATTGTAGCAATTAATGTCTCCATTTGTGTTGTAAATAAACATACAGACTAGCTTTAATTTAAGGAATTTAGGGCTTCCTTCCTATTTTAAATAAAATTTTATCTTTATGTTTCTAGGCTTTGGAATATGCAAAGACCATCCCCAAACCAAAACAATCAAGTCTGACTGACCAAACATCAAAGGGGGAAAAGAATGCTACCTACAGTGGGAAAGAAGAAAGTTTACCTGAAATCTCCCTGCTAGAGATCCTGCAGAGCAGACACGAGCGGGAAAAACAGGCTGTGGCTGCTTTCAAAGTTCTTCATATTGTCTAGACAGCACTTGGTAGGAGATCAGAAATGCTCCAAAGACACATGCAGGAAAGAAACTCCAGCCACCTTGTCTGCATTGCGAATGAGAACCTGGTACCATCACTCAAGCACGGTGGACAGGACCTAATAGAGGCCCGTCAGATTATGGTGCCATTCTCCGCCTTCCAGCAAGAAAATATTTTTAGCTATTTATTTCCAAATCAGTTAGAATTTTGGGCTAATAAATAACTAGACAATAAAACCTTCAGTTTCTTATTGGATCTTTTGACTTCCTAAGCTATCTCTGCTCTTCCTTAGCATAACAAAAACCTTGAAGTTATCCAGAAATAAATATGAACACTTCAGATTCTCTTAAAGTGAGCTAAACTAGACTCATCAGTAAATTTTAAGATAACATTTCAAAAATATTATTCAAATATCCAAGTGTACCAAAGGATTTGTATGTAAAATTAAAAGGAATGAAGGAATATGTAGGTATATCCACTAAAATAGAACAAATCTCAGTATCATTCAATTACAGTTATATCATTAGTTACAGGTCCCCAACAAGTTCAGAAATGCCCAATTCAGATAAGTCTGAGTAATATACTTTATCAAAATCAAGTATATAAATTTTCTGGGCATCTTGCAATCACAAATATCTTAAGATATTGTTAAATGCAAGCTTTTGCATAAAAAATTAGATAGAAGTAGTCTACAGTTTCCTACTAATGTAAATATTAATAAATATTATTTTATCTTTTGATGTATTATAGAAACTCCCAGTCTTAAAATAACTACTAAATTTATTTAATTTTTTACTTCTGTATATTTGGTGAGCATTGCATCCTTAGGTGGACATGTCCAGAAATATATATATATATATAAAATTTTTTTTTTTTTTTTCAGTATCGGGGATTAACCCATGACCTCGTGCTTGCCAGACAGGCGTTTACGCCGCTGACCTATATCCCCAGCCCCTAGAAATACATAATTTTTAACACCAGGGTAGGGCATATCTGTTTATGCGTGGGACATAAGGACGAGTTTTGGAAATTCAAAATTCTATGTTGTATAGATTTTACATACATAATGATGTGATATAAAAGCTGTCTATGGTAACTTTCTTTTAAAACTAGAAGTGGTTTAGAGTTAAGAGTCTGGAAAATAACAAGTAACTGAAGGTTACAAGAAAACTGGTAAATCATGCTTTAGTGCTTTTTGGAAAATAATGCATGAGAAGTTAGTTCCAGAAAAATCGTAGCCCAAACTACTTTAAAATGTCTTTTTGTCAAAGAGACTCCTTCAGGATACATGATGAAGATATTTCTAGAAACATTAATTTTTTCCTAAATGGTTTTAAATTTAAATTAACTCTAGAAGAACAAAAGAATGCATATAGAGACATTCCCATGTTTTCATAATTAAAGGAAGAGAATAAAATTTTAAAATAGTCCATTTCAACCAGAATAAAAGAATTTAGAGCTTGAAAAGAATTTATCTTGTTGAACTGCCAACTTTTCAGTAGAGGAAAGAGAGGCCAAGAAATTAAATGACTCTCAAATCCTTCCATTCTATGCAGAGTAAGGGGACAGTAGCCAGATCTCAATCCCTTCTCTTACACTGAGAACAGTGCTGTTTGGATCTTTGTCTGTAGAAAGAGTGTTCTTGTTTCTCATTGTGGGCAAGCAGCATATAGTTGCTAAAAATTTCAAAATGGGTATGAATTTCCTTCAGTTCAATTTTTACAAGTACGTGTTACTGTATACCTGATTATTTATTTATTTATTTTTGTGGTACTGTAGATCAAACCCAGGGCTTTGTGCATGCAAAGTAAGAACTCTACCACTGAGCCACATCCCCAGCTTTTAAAGCACATACAATCTGGCAGATTTCCTTACCAACATTGATAAAGTTGTAATACACATAGAAAGCAACTCAAACTTTGATGCTGACTTTTGATGCCTTCCCTCCCTCCCCCATCTCAGAACATTTCCAAAACTTCCCATGACCATTCTTCTGACAGCTTGCCCTTGGGCCTGTGGTTTAATTCTTCCAACACTTATAGACACCCTGTCAAAACCAACACTTAGTTAAAGCAGGTGACTTAGTTTAACTGCTCTTTAGCAAGTTCTTTGCCCCCAAGGCCAGTCTTCACCGTCTAACACAGAAGACTACTGAACATTGAAATTCTTTACGCAGTGGCAATTGGCATCTAAAGTGACTTTGGCTAGAGGAATGAAACATACTTAACTGAAAGTTAGAGGCTGAAGTCAGAGAATGAATTAAAATGGCCCTTCTGCCCCAAGTCAGCTCACAATAGCCACACTTAGCAGAATGTCCCCAAACTACCACCACCCTGAGTCAGGAGAGAGACTACAAACAATAACTGACAAATACTTCTTTATTCTTTAAATTGTGCTGATCGCAACAATATTGATCTTTTTTAAACGTAAGTGGATCAGTGATCAATTTTATAACATTTCTGTTTCAGATACTCACGAAAATATGAACAACCTGACCGCTAGAAAACAAGGAACTTCAAACTTGAGTGACATAATAAGGGAGGGCCTATTTGACCAGATGTTATATATGCCATTGAGAGACGTGGCATAATTCTGCCTAATCTCTGTGAGCTGGTAAAATAAAGGTCTTCTGAGCCATCTATTCACTCTTATTACAGCCTCCTTTCTGCAGTGTTTTTTCATCTTGAGTTTCCAACAAAAGCGTCCTCTTAAAGGGAGCTTTTTTTTTTTTTACAAGTAGCTGAATTTAATGACAGCTGTTTTCTTGATATTGTTTTGTATAGTAAGGAGTCTCTTGGGAGTTACCCAGAAACCAAGTCAAGAAAAGACAACATTGAGGAACAAAATAAAAGGTAAGTCTAGCAAAGGCACTGATGCCTAATGGTTCCAATTGGGGCCTTATTATTGGTTAATGAATCATTGTCAAAACATTGCGGCAAGCATGAGCGTGCACAGCGTGGTCTATAGTGAGAAAATGACTCTTCATCCCTACAGTTATTAGCCGGGAGTTGTTTGAAAACACGTCCAGTAATTACAACAACACTGGAGCTAATTGAGAACTTTGAGTTGCTAGCAAATGACCTACAATAGCAGACTAGATCAACTCGGGGGATTCTTTTCTAATTACTTATTGAAAAGCAGCTGAAGATGAATTAAATTTGGGCAATCGTCTTGCAGATATCAGGGCAAATTCAGCTAATTCTCTCCCAAGATGTGCTTAAAACATGTATAATGCTACCAATATATTAGAGCATGGAAAATTCTTAAAGAAAAATCAGGATTGGCCTCTTAAATACACCTTTAAATTTAAAGGTCACTTTTATCTGAATAAGTTGTAAGTAATATACATTTCATCCAATCTCAAGTATTCATAGGATGACTAGAGGGCTTCTCTTCCCTAATGCTATTTTTATAAGCGCAATTTTCAGTGGGTAAAAATAGACAAAAAGATACACAAATCCTCCCTTTGCCTCTTTGTTTTCCCAGGAAGTGGATTGAAAATTGTAGCATATAGTGAAAGTTTTGAATTATTGTGGACTTTGTTTATCCATAGAGAACTCACTCTCCCTAGAATCTTATCTTATACGCTGACTGTATTGTCAGACATAGTATTTCTGTACTAAAATGGTAAGACAAAGAGAAAATACCCATTCTAATAAAAATTTACTCCATTTTAAAAAAATATACTGAAATAGGTTCTCCAAGTAGCTGAAAATTCATTATTCAGAATTGTCCACTTACCCCACTGCCTCCAGACTAACTCCAAAATTTGTTTCTCTTCACCCTCTAGTTTCATCAAGCAAAATCACACATTTTTCTCTAGAGGGATGGAAAAACATAAAATACCTCAACTTACTGTGTAAACGTCTGCTTTTGGCGGTAGTTTCTATTCACTCATTCATCTCATTCCCTAAATTATTCTAAAAATATTCTAATTTTTCATGTTGGTTACTTAATTTTGGCTCAGTAAAATAACTGGAAAGCTGAGGCCTTTCCAAAATGTTATGAAAACTGTACATTGCAAAATGCAATAATATGCAAAATAAATAGATTTTTTACAGCTCTATCCAGAAATGCCAGGGCTCTTTGGAAAATATGAAGAGAGGAAAAAAGAATTTGGTGGGCAGGGTTTATCTCCCTTGCTGCCTCTCCATTGCTTTTTCATTTCCCTCTTACAAACCTGGGTAATGTAAGTAATTAATTTTCAATAAGCTAGATAAATGGTCTTCTGCTATTAAATAGCTCTAACAGGTTGAGAGGATTACAATGATGTGAGCGTTCTAGGCAAATGTATTTAGTGAAGCCTTGGAAACTTCAAATAAGAGTTCATAAACACCCTTTCACTGAAGTGGCATCTCATAGACACCGGCCCTGGTACTGGGGCTGCCAGCCTGGTTTCTTGGGGTGCACTCTGTTGCTGAGGTCCCCAACAATTGCAGTAGATGTTTAAACAGCATATATACCTGTGGTGCAAATTTGGCAGTAGAGGAAACAGCTGTTAGGAATTTTAAACCCAGAAAGTATAATCTGTTATCTTTGGGGAAACTCTACACAGAGGACAGTAGCTCCCCAAATAAAATCAGTGGCAGTGTCTCAGCTAAATAAGTGGGGTCACATATGTAGTCTTACTGTGGTACCAAATTCCTCTCGCGATTTAATCTTCCACTATATGTTTGACATCCGGGCATCTATCAAAATTAGAATCCTGAAGCCCAACTGGCCTTGCCTCATAGCCTCACTCTGTCACCTGGCAGTGAGGTCGTCTCCCATTTCCCCTGCTTGCACACAATGGCGACACTTTGAAGTAGTACAGATGAGGTCCCTAAATTTGTTGTCTCTACTTAAAATTGATAATCTCCTATGTTGCAAACCTCAAGCACCTATTTTTAATGAAAGCTTTAGATGAATATCAAAGAACTATTTAGCCATGTCTAATATTTTAATTAGATTATATTCTCAATTTAACCCATTAAATCTCCTTTGATGGTCCCCATATTTAGTATTTAGCCCCAGATGCACGAGGTAATGAATACTGGACCTTTTGATTTAATGAGAATTTCGGCTCCTCCAGCCTCCACCTCTTTGTATACCTTTTATTTTGCTGGCTATAGAATTCAGTTAATTGAAGGGGTCTCTTACCATCACACATTAAGGAGTATAAATTAGCATCCCCATTCTGATTGGAAAATGCAAGCAGACAGTTTTGCTTTGATCTGAGGATTGAGCTGAAGAAGGCAGCAGCCCTCTGAAAATGA